CCCTAGTCGGCTTTGGTGCTGTTTCTTCCACTGCTTTGGGCGATGGCCTCCCTGCCCCTGGGATCCCAGGCTGTGTGGTTACTGAGCGACTCAGCGCCCCAGACCCACCACCCCCAACTTCTAATTCCTACTAAGGGGCACTGCTCCTCCTGGGGTGGGGGAAGCTCTCTTAAAGACATGGGATTTGGGGGGCGGTCCTTATAACCATCAATTTAATACACTGGAATTCAGAAGAAGTAGCCCAAGTCAACTCAGAAATGCTCAGGGACAAACTCTCCAGCCTGCAGTGTTTGCTGCTGCCTTGTGGACCCCTCTGTTTGGGGTGGGAGAGGCATGTTAGGAAGGAAAGAATAGCTCCCCACCAAAGACCATTTTTCACTCTCTCAGAATCTTTTTTTTTTTTTAAGATTTTATTTATTTATTTGAGAGAGTGAGAGAGAGAAAAAGAGTACACGAGAGGGGGGAGGGTCAGAGGGAGAAGCAGACTCCCCGCCGAGCAGGGAGCCCGATGCGGGACTCGATCCGGGGACTCCAGGATCATGACCTGAGCCGAAGGCAGTCGCTTAACCGACTGAGCCACCCAGGCGCCCCTCTCTCAGAATCTTAACAGAAGATCCCTACAGCTTTGGTTGGAGCCCATTTCTCTGTCTTTCCTCAGTGATAGGAAAATAATTGGTTCCCATCATCTTCAGTGTAGATGCTCTCACTAGAGTGAATAATTGCTACACCTCAGACGGCGCTGCTGGGTGGAGACACAGACACATTCCTGAACTTTGCGGATAGATTCTATTTAAACTATTTTGTGTCTTTGTCAGGCTATGCACATGAAGTTTTAGTTTGGAAACTATGACCATCGTGGTTCTAGCTTCTCCCACATGCTTCTTGCTTATTCCGGGATTTGTTTCATTTTCTGTCTTGGTTCATTCTCTATCCTTCCCTATGAAAATGAGGCTTGCCCGCTTCCTTCATGCTGACCCTGGGCTTATCAAGTATCTTTGTGTTTTGGGTGGTTTTGTCCCACTTCCCTTGGCATCTTGACAGTGAGGAACTGCAGAAGCAGGGAAGGGACACTTCTGCACACCCTCCAAGCTGGGAGGATGGCTGAAGAGGCTACTTACTGTCTTCCCTTGTTGTTCTAAAGTCTCTCACCCTGACCGTGGGGAGAGGAGAGCAGGCAACCTCTGGCAGCTCTACGAACCATTTCGGAAAAGAGAGTATGCTTCTTGTCTTAGTCAGTTGGGACCGCTATGAGAACACCATAAATTGGATTGCTTGACCAACAGACATTTCCTTCTCACAGTTCTGGAGGCTGGAAGTCCAAGATCAGGTGGCCGCATGGTGTGGTTCTAGTGAGGGAGCTCTTCCTGGTTTCCTCACTTGGGGGAGAAAGAGAGCGAACGAGTGAGAGCGAGAGCAAGAGAGCACAAGTGAGTGAGCTAGGGTCTTTTCATCCCTTTATAAGGGCACCACGCCCACCAGGGAGGCTCCTTCCCCATGACCTCATCCAAACCTGATCACCTCTCCAAGACTAAAATACCCCCCAAACCTAATTACCTCCCAGTCTCCAAATACCATCACTGTGGGTGATATGCTTTCAACATAGGCATTTTGGGGGACACGCTCAGTGCATAGCAACTTCCTGCCTATAGTTTTTATCTTCTAAGCTTTCCCAGAAGCTGAATTCATTCTTACTTACTAGGTTAGACTGATGGGCGCAGGACCAGCTGCCTTTCAGACCAGCATGACACTTCTTTCTGCTCCATGGTGAGCATCCTCCAATGGCTGAGATAACAAAGGGAAGCCAGAGGCCTGGGATGGGACAATAAATCCAACTGCTTGTTTGTCGCCACACCCACACCCCTGGGATCCGTCACATGAATGTCCTTTTCTCCACACACAGGGCTCAGAAGCTCCTGGCAAGGACCATGTCCCAGTGCTTCTTCAGCACATTTTGTGTAGTTATGTGCATGCTTTCGTAGAGTACCTGCAAGTGGGCTTGCTCTGAATCCAGTTGGAATCAGATAATTAGTTTACAGACAGAAAATATATACTGTTTTAATTTTCCCAACTTGAGTAAGGATTGCTTTGGGAGTTGTGTGCAGCATGCTGTAAAAATAACTCTTTTTAATTATATTTATTTACTTAATGAATCACACCAATAGCAGGTAAGTGGGGTGTTGAGGCAGCCCGCGGAGTTGCCCAAAAGTGTCATTTGTCCCATGCCTTCTGATTTATAATGTAATTTCACATCCAGTCTTATCTTCTGTTTGCAGGGAACTTTTCTAGGTTGCGTACACCTAGTAAGAGGCAATGCTGGGTCTCAGTTTTGAATCTTTGGGCTTCATGTCTTGTGCTCTTTCCACGTTCATTGGGGACATCATACAAGGGAGTCAGGAGAGCCTGACTCTTAGTAGCCATGTGGCCCTCGGGGGCCACTTCACCTTGCTCAGCAGCAGTCAGTGAAGGCTCCACAAGTTGCCCGAGATAGGAGGTGATCAACCTGAGACTGCCTTGGAGAGTGTGAAGTGATCCTTCCGTGGCCCAGGGCACCTCCTGATGCATAGGTTAAATGGGAGAGGGCATGATTACTATTGTTCTTATTAGTAAATGCAATTGGCAGCTGCTTCTTGGCATATGGCCCAGATAGAAAAGCACCTGGAAGCTGATCTTCCTGAACTCTTGATCCCCCTTCTCTGTTCTTGTCCCCTCCCATTGAACCTCTCACCACATAACATACAATTTCCTTATTCATTATGTCTATCGCCTATCTCTCCCTCCACTAGAATGGCAGTTCCAGGAGGGATGGGTTTTTTGTCTGTGTGATCCTGAGGACTGCTCAGCATCTAGAATAGTGTCTGGTACATGCTGGTCACTTAATAAGTATTTGTTGAAATAAATAAATCTCTTGCTCTGCAGATCACTCCAGTGGTCTCCTTATTTATGCAAACAGGGGCTTCAGGGAGAGGGCAAGGCAGAAGTGGATCAGCTTGCCTAGGAGATCTGGGCCTTTCTGTAAGTCAGGGAATGAGACCCAATTCCCTTTCCTAGGTTTGAAGTTGGGACACCCGTGGGGATCTCCAAGGGACCCATACTTGGGCTCAGAGCAGGAAGAGTGCTAAGGTCACTGACTTGGGTGGGCGGACAGGGCTTTAGGTTGTTGAACTGGGTGTAACATAGAGGTTTAGAAAGTTGTGAGGAAGGTGGTTTCAGCACAACATGGGATGGATTTTAGAAGGGCCTCCGGTTCCCAGCACCCTTGGCATCGTTTCTCTTTGAGAACAGTGACTGAGCAGAATATGGTGTCCAAAGCCGTACCAAGGTGATAACTTTTGTCCTGGGCATCCCAGCAACAGTGAACTGCTATCTTCCCTCAGCTGGTGGGAAGGGAAGGCAGCAATGGATGAACATGACCGTGTTCTTTCTGTTTGGTGTTTCGGCTCTCTTTGGGATGAGTTCAGGACACAGGGTTACTGAGAAATTGGGGGTGGGTGGGTTGAGGAGCCTCAAGAAGGGATTACTGAACTCTCTGCTAACAGGGCCTAAGAAAGTTCAGGTAATTAATTTGAAAAATAAAGCAAATGTGATCATATTTGTGCCATAAGTTGATTAGGCAGGTTGTACCATTTCTTCACATAGGTAGCAATAAATATACAGTTTTTGTTTGACTATTCTTTGTTCCCCCAAATTTCTTCTTTAAGTGTGTGTGTGTGTGTGTGTGTGTATATATATATATATATATATATTTTAAATCAAATACATCATTGTTTCCTCTTCTAAACCATTATGGAGTTTAACATAGAATTTTACAGTTTCTTTTAGCGAGAAAGAAATACCACTTATTTTCAAGTTTGCCTCAACTGTCACTATGTTCCCAACCCTCATTTATACGTTTGAGCTTTATACATGTACACACACAGACACACAGACACACACACACTCGGTGTGTTCAGCCATCACCAGGGCAGTGTTTATTTCTTAAAATAAATTAATTAGGAAAAAGTGCCAATTGCCCTTTCACACAGGATATACTTCAGATTATGCTTTTTACTGGAGAAGATGCAGGAATCCCATTTCCGAAATGTGCCTCTATGGCTGCTTCCCACAGAACTGTGCATGTCCTGCTTGGCTCACTTGGTGGGGGGGGGGGGGTCCTACTTATAAATACATATGTTTAAAATTGTACCGCCCCTCACCCCAGGAGAGGCATGATAGATAACATTTCTTCCCCCTAGTGGAAACCACTATTTACCATTCTTTGAGTATCTGGGTCTCCTTCTTGCTTTTCCTCTTTTGAATGGTGAGAGAGAAAGAGAGAGAGAGAGAGAGAGAAAGAGAGAACAAATATGAATTTTTGACTCCTAGCCCTCTTAAAACTGCTGACCCCTTAAAAGGGTCCCATTTCTTGTGGCAAATAGCCATGATAGCTCTGAATAAAAGGTCCAATAGAAAGAACAGCTGTTAGCCCGATGACACCAAGCACTTGCCAGCCAGGTGCTTACTTCCAGCAGAAAAGCAGGGTGAGGAGGAGGCGGGAGAGGCAGGGGTGGGGTGCGGGGGTGGGTGCTGTGGCCGGCCAGGGCTGGAGAGCTGTGCTCCCCAGTTCCTTCCCATCTGCAGAGTGTTCAGAATCCACGTGCACGCCAAGATCTCCATCCCAACTACACTTCCCATTGTTGCCCAGATAGGTCTGACCATTAAAAAACGTGACTCGAGGGAGAGAAGGCGATATCCCAGAAGCCTTAACTACCTTTGGGAGCTCAGACTCTTCACGTTATCTTGTTTAAGTAGAATCCTAGGTGGCAAGTGTTGAACTAAGGGGAAATCATTTAGCAAAGGCAAAGCAGAAACTGACCAAAGGGTGCTCTAAAGAGGAGTAGTGGTGGGGAGGGGATAAAGGGCAAGGTTTGCCCTCTTCTTTTCTAGAATGTTCTCCCCTCCCCAGTTTCATAGCACTAAGTTGGCCTTAGCCCACCAGTTGTCCTAATGGGCAGGACTCTTGCATCTGCCCTCTGTACGTCCCAGAGCTGCTTATTCTGAGGCCTCCCCAAGGCTTTAAAACAAAACAAAACAAAACAAAACCAGCCGCTGCATCTTTAATGACCAAATTAAAGAGAAAAGATACTTTGTTGTTGTTGAATACATACTGTATTTAACTTTTTTTAATCCCAGAGAAGTGAAATGCAACATCTGTTTGAGTTTATGTAACATCCAAAGACTGACGACTCAGAATTTCCTAATTGAAGTCATTTTTAAGGCACTCTGCAGAGCCAGCTTTCGTCTCTTCCTTGGGTGGCTTTTTCTCCAAACTGCAGCAGAATACCCGGTTTCTCTTTCTTCCAAGTGATACACACATGCTCATGCTTTTCACCTGCTCTTTGTCCAGACAACACCGAAAAACAGCACAATTCCAAACGGGAAACAGTGAAGGAAGGAAATACATCTGTTGGAGGGCACGGGGGGAGGGGGGCACAGAGAGGACACTTTTGAGTAAATTAACTGATGGGGTGGTAGCAGAAAAGAGAAGGAGCAGCAGGGAAATGGAACAGGGTGGGGTGGGCCAGGTGGCTGGCAGCCAGTGAAATACAGGCTACATTTCCCAGTGAGGTTTAAATTAATTTAGCTGTTCCTTCTTCTTTTTCTTCTTCTTCTTCTTTTTTTTTTTTCATTTGTAAAATTCGGGCCAATATAAGGGAGGAGTGTCAACATTCTGGAAAGTGTACATAGGTAAGTGTGCTTGCTTGTGCTCATGTACTTATGAAGGGTTGATCTTAGAGATAAGTGTGGTTGGGGGGCTCTAAAAAGCTCCCCTGATAAAAAATAATCTCCCTTACTGGCCCACTGCTGTGCCTGAGATACCCACTGTTAGAGCCACTCCTTCGGATTAAGGCATTATCTGTAGCCCCAATTAAAACATGAATGTCACCTGGGAGGGGTAACCCTCAACTCTTTAGCACCCACTGACTGAACTGTCTGTCACCTATCAGAGAGTAGGACCCTGAGAGATGGGACATAGGGCAGGGACATTCTGACTAATGGGGAAAGAAGGCTTGGTGGTATGGAATGCAGAGGGGACAGGCTGGGCAACGGAGGGTGTGTGTGAACTAGTACTCGCCCCAGGAAATTACTCAGATGGGGGAGATCAAGTACGAAAAAAACCTCTTCCCACATCCCAGGTTTCCCTGGACTGTGTGTGTGTGTGTGTAACAGTTTGTATATATTACAACATTCTTGTGTATATATCTAATATGGAAATCACCTAGGCCCATTTATGAACATGGTACATCTCTGTGGATCTCGGTTTGTATGCAGCTGATGCACATCACACACATACACACGTATGCATCACACACATACACACGCATTTACTCACACTCAGTGGAGATCTTGTAAAGTGTGAAGGGGGAGATGTCTCTTCTCAGCCATTTGGGATTTGGATGCTGCACAACTGTTGGGGAAAGAACTGGCTTGGGGTAATGAGACTCCTTCCTCTGTTACCAGTTGACCCTCATTCAATTCAGGTGGCTCTGCAGAAATAGCCAAGCCTTGGGTTATCAAGACTCAGCACGGGCCTTCCCATCAGGATTGGGATTTGGAGACATAAATGTCACCCAAGTGCCCTTTAAACCTTTGGAGTTGGGGAGTCTGGGGCAGATGAAAAGAGAATCTGGTGGGGAGTGGGTTTCTATTCCTAGAAAAGCTGGACACCGTTTGAGAGCCCCCGGGCTGGGTGTAGGCACCAGCCTCAGGGTGCAAAATGGTGGGACCTGCCAACTCTCCAGGGATCCACTCAGGTTGGTTGACCTGATGGGTAAGGTTGAGTGAGGAGGAGGGGCTGGAGAAATGGGAAGAGAGTTCTCATTCCCCAGTGGCCACTCCCATTCTTGGCAAGGCAGAAAGCTCCGGAAATAGAGGATGAAGGATGTGGATGGGTGGGAGGGACGAAGGGAAAAAACACTAGAAGTGCTTCTCAACCCTAGCCTCACATTAGGATCATCTGGGGGTACTTTTAAAAACACCCATGCCCAGGCTCTATCCCCAGATTCTGCTGTAATGAGTTGGAGAGGGGACCGGGTATGGATGGTTTTTAAGCTCCTCAGGCATCTCTAATGTGCATGTGGACTTCAGAAGGCGGCACCAGAGCAGAAGGAAAAATCTAGATCCGAGGTGGCCAGGCTGCAGCTGACTGCCCCCCCCCCTCCCGGTCCGCCCCACGTGCACACAGAGCAGGGGAGGGGTTATGCTGTGAGGGGGAGGGGAGGGCGGGATGCTGGGAGCTTCTACTTGGACAGTTGACCCTCTTTCTGCTGATTTGTATGGCTTTATTGCCTCACTAGAGCTGGTGGTTTCTAACCCCACTTCTGGCTGAAAATCTGGTTGGGGTAGAAGTGTTTGGGCACAGAGAGAGAAATCCCCCCTCTGTTTTTTCTGTGGCTTCAGAGAGGAGTCACTCACTGTGCTCTCCAGGGCCAAGAAGACAGATTCCGGGGCTGGACGCCTCAAAGATGGGAGTGGGTTTTCTGCTGTATAATAAATACATATTTTATAAATGAATCAACCAGTAAGCAAGCCAACCAATAAACCAATAAATAAAACAATGCACACCATTTTTCCCCTCTTAGGGTGGCTCTCCCCTCCCCACATCGATCCTGCTGACATACACTTGCCCTTGGTCACCTGAAGACACCCAGCCTGGTCATGCCAGGGAAGCAGGACTGCTTTGGCCCTAGCTCCAAGGATCAGAGAAATCTCAAGAGCGTATCCACACTGGCCCCCCATGTGGAGAAGGGAGGAAAAGGGGAGATATGCATTCCCGCTGTTTCAGACCCAAAAGCGTAGGGAGGGAAGGCAAGAGTTTGGGAACCAAGGCTGGGCCATGTTAGGTGTCTGAAGTCCAGGCTGACCAGCTCTTCCTCCCTGGGCAGCTTCACTTTAGAGGGTCGGGGATGGACTTGAGATCTGGATGGACCCAATCTTTCCACACAAAAAGATACAGCAGACACAGCTCCCACTTCAGCACAGCCCGCCAAGAGCCGAGCCGAGCCCAGCCAGTCCATGGGGAGTGCTGCATGACCCGTGCTTTGGTAGGAGGGGGTACAGCTCACGGGATGGGAGGATGGCTAGGAGACAGGGAGAATGGCACTCGTTTTAATGGGAAATCAGCTGTCCAGGTCTTCAGCTTCTAGAACCACCAGCCATGGCTCATTTCCTCCTCTTTAGTCTCTGCCATGTGGTTCTGCTTGCTGGACGTGCCTTGTCCTACTAGGTGACCTGTATGTGCACATGGAAACATGTAAATAAGATGGGCATGAAGACAGTGACCAAAGAATGTCATTCCTTAAAAGCAGATGGTTATAATCTGGCTTTATAGATTTCAAGGGGACAACGACCCTGCAATTTTATGTGAAGTTATTGGGACTTATTTACATATGCATTTCTCTGTAAAGATGGTCTATAGTATTTATGTGGGTCTTAAAAAATGATTAAAAACTAAAATAATATTAAGGGATTCCAGATCATCCATAGGTGTTATCCACCAGCAAGGCACAAAGGGATCTAAAGAAATGGGTGGGAATTCCAGACCCCCCACCCCCCTGCCTTGTTTTTCAGCATCTGAAGGCACAAGGAGATTTGCAAGACTCGCTGATTCACCAGAACCCTGTGGCTTACCCCAAATTCCTGTGCCTGGGCGCACACTCCAACTGCACTAAAATTTCTCGAGTGTAGGTCTATACTACTCAACTTGAAGTTGTCAGTCAGTTTGTCTTTTTAAGACAAACTTGCTGCCACTATTTTTGTGTGTGGGTGGGTATTTGTATATATCACTTTAATAGTTATGGTCCTAAAGAAGGGGGCGAACTGAATCTTTCAAATAAAAAGAGTACTTTTGAATGCATGGAAGGAAGAGTTGCTCCGAGGTAAATCCAAGCACCAGGCATCCTCCTCTTTCTTCCCTGATCATTTTTTCTGCTTTGTGTCTTTGGATTTTTGATATACTGGCTCTGCTTACAGGGATGCACAGCAGAACGAGTTTTTCCAACAACAAATGAACACCATTGCATTTTCAGAATGTCTGCATGGTTTCAATTTCAAGAAGAAAACAAATCCCTGGTTCTTACAGAGGTTGTCAAATAAACTCGTTCCAGTTGTTTGAAGTTTGCAGACAACCACATTGTATGTACAAATGGGGACTTAATAGCCTATAAGCCATTCTAGAAACGGTTCCTCCATACACCCTGTACTCTAGCTGTTGTGCCCTAGTGTACCCAGTGCCTGTCCCCCGCCCCCTGCAGCGAGTGAGTGGTCAGAGGCACTGAGAGTGCTAGGCTCTGCTGGCCCTTGATATCTTGCATGGCACAGAATGACAGACGTGGGGGATGATGGCGGAAGTTGGGACGTGACATGGGCACTCGTGTGCAGAAGCCTTGAGACAACCTCGGAGGCTGTGCGCTGCTCATGGACCATACTGGAGAGAAGCCTGTGTGCAAATGTCACATCATTGTGACAACTGCTTTATATGACCATTATATTCATTATTATAATGTTCATATCTGTTAACTGTATTCAACTTACTATACAGTAAGGTTACCTTTGGGTTAGCATAATTTTGGTACAGGAAATATTTTAACTGCATGGTTGAGTTTTATCTCTCAGTTTCCCCCAGGAAACTCTGCCAATGTGTTCTCACAAGCTTAAAAATTTCGGGGGGCTGACTGTGGCACTGAGAACAGGACTTCTTCCCATTTCACAGATGGAAACGTGAAGATGCCTTGCATGAGACCTGCATATTAAGGTCCATTCAAAAGGACCGGTCTCCTGGTCCCTGACACCATCCTGAGCATTTGAAGGAGGGAGCTGGCTTGGGAAGTGCCTCCTTCTTTCCTGAAAAGGAAAGGACAAGATCGTTTTGAATCCAAATGAGTTTAGAGCTGCTTATTTTCTCACAACAAAGGCCCCTATTTCCTTTCTGATGAATGTGCCCAAAAAAGGCATTTTCCTTTGTTTGATTTTGTGAGTGACTCTTGGGAGCAGATTTTTTTTTTTTGCTGTTTTCAGAAGACCCATGACATTTTTCAGGTGAGACAGCAGATGAGTCTTCAACCCTAAGGCATGTGTGTGTGTACGTGCATGTGCATATGTGTGCGTGTGTATGCATGTGCATAGGTGTACATGCACATGTGTGTGTGCACGCACACGTGCACATGCATGTACACGTGGGGTGTGCGTGTGTACATGCATGTGTGTGTATGTGTGCGTGTGTATGCACACGTGCACTGCACACGAAGAGCTAGGTGGTGTAGAGCCTAAGTCCCCGTTCATCTGATATGCATATGCAGGGCCCTTCTTTCTTTCCTAATTAATTAGAAGTAATAGCTTTCTATAGTTTCTGGTACATGAGGGAGTGAAGTGGGAAATAATTTAATTGGCTGTCTTGCTTTCAAAGACCAGTTTAATGAAATAGTTCTCAGCCTGAAGTGCATGTATTATCTTTCCTGTTATTTTTCCAATTAACATTTCATTGGATCATGTCTGTGTGGAATATTCTAATTGGTTTGGAGGGTGGGGGTGAGGGGACAAGAGCAGATGGAGAGATAACCAGCTGTTTCTCCCATCACCAGAGCCTGTGTATGTGTGGATGAGGCTGTAGGCTCTCCCTAGTGCCTTTCCTTGGAAGAGATCAAACAACACGACAGAATGCTGCTTGTCTCCTCACCCGTCCTCACCAAGTCCTCGTGCCGGAAAGGCGTCTTCCCCTCACAGGCAGACTAAGGGAGCGCTTGTTAAACTTCTGGGGTTACTTGTGATGTATGGCACCAAAGGAGAGGATGAGTGGTGCCCAGAGCTTCCTGTGAGCATCGTCTCCCTCTGGGCAGGGGCTCTGTTTAGTCTGGCACATAGTAGATGCTCCGTATAAACACTTGCTGGGAGAATGAGTATCCCGAGGGATCTCACGGGAGCCACCCCTACCCTCCCTTCCTGTGAAGAAAGCAGCATGTAGACGGTGGCACAGAGCAGGGCTGGGAGCAGGGTGAGGGAAGCCAGGCATCCAGGGCAGACACCGCAGGGCGTTCGTGCTCAGCAAGTGCAGAGCCAGTCTTTGCACAAACCTGCATCGAGGGCCTTCTGAAATTTTTGCACCCTGGGCGCCTGGTTGGTTCACCCTCATCCTGAGCCGGGCCTGAGGCAAAGTATTCTGCCGTCCTTCCTGTCTCCTCCCTGTTCCCAGAGACATGGGGCATCAGCCAGCCTGAGACCAGCCCCCCATGTAGCCATCTTGCTGTTTGAATGCTTCGCATGCCCTGTCAGAGCCCCCCATGGTCCCCAGGGGTGTCCAAGGGCAGCTGGGCCACTGCTCTGGGTCTCGGCCTTCTCCCCTCAGCGCTGTAATGCCATAGCGTCTATTTTCCCTTCTCTCGGCATTTCACTCAGCGGCTTTAAGGACTGAGCCACATGTTCTGGGTTAGCTAAGGACCCCTGGGAGCCCGGAGGCAGAGGAGAGGCTCCTGCGTGTGGCCATGTGGACTGCTGCCCAGAGGCCTGGCTTCATATTTATCCCGGTGAGAAGAGCGGGTGGTTTCTCTTCTGGACCACTCCCCAGCTGGGCCAGATTACCTCTCTCCTCAGAGGGCCCGTGATGCTGGGTCTGGCTGGGGAGGGGTGCAGTGGGGTATGTGGGGCCAGGGGGCCTTGGGAAGCAGTCCTGAGGCAAGCTGCATGGCTGGTCCAGGTGGGGCCATGTGGAATGGGGCCACAGCAGGCAGGGTGGGCAGAGAGGGACCATAACCACGTATGCCCGCCATGTGGTGGGACAGCCTGGGGGGTGGAACATTTGAAGAAACATATCCTTTTATTTGCATACTCAGAGCCAGATCTGTAATGCGACCTCCAAACTGTGGTGTCCTAGCCAAGATCTGGGGCATCAGAAACTGTGTAGAGACAGGACAGTGGGAGATCCCCACCCCCAACACTATATATATATTTTCCCCCTCTGTATCAGTGGAAATCCACAGAAAGGTGTATGTGTGTGTGTGTGTGTGTGTGTGTGTAAAATTATTATTATCACCATTTACTGCCTCTGTATCTCTTGCCTGAGCTCACAACAGGAAAAGGGCCCCTGCCCCTGGCTGGCTTCTCTAGGTGGCTTAAACCAGGCAAAGTGTGCTGGGATTTCAAGTTTGGCCCAGATCTGATGTTCAGCCTCCTTTCCTTTCCAAAGGCTTCTTGGAGTTGCAGCTACAAATTCTGCCCAGAGCTGCTTCCTACAGGGCTACGTAGTGGTCTCCTTTCTTTTCCTGACTGCCAGGGTCCAGGCCTCTCCAGCAAGGTGTTTGGGGGCAAGGGGGGGTTGGGGAGCTCAAACCCCACCACCCTCCACTGAGGCCAGGCTTACTTGGCGGGCAGAGTGGGTTTCCCTGAAATGGTTTTGGGCTTCCTAGTAGATGGAACTTGAAATCGTGCAATTAGCTCTGGGCCTTGTGATTCTACCAATGTGACAATACCTTACAACAGGCAGCATGTTAGACATTTTGGGAGTGTTTCCAGACATCATCCCCCTGTGTCTTCCTGACTGTGATGTTGGCTGGGTTGTATTAGTGGCTCAGTTAACAGAAGAGCAAATGGAAGCCCAGGTGAATTAAATGATTTGCTCAAGGTCTAGTTCACCAGCTGGATCGCAAGTCACGCTGAAGTCCTGGGCTCTGGCCTCCAACTTCAGAGCACCCAAAAGGGCCTCCCTTCCAATGAGGAATAGGAGAGAAATCACCTGAAGGCACAGAGCCTGGGATAGCTGAACCCAGACTCTTCCGGAGAGCTGATTCTGTCTTAAACTGCATCCAGGGATCAATCAAAAAGGATCAATTTCTGCATTCCTAAAAAGACACCCTCTCCTAGTTAGTCAGCCTTGCCCAAGGAACAGCAGTGGCTGGACAAACAGAGAAAAAATGCTTGCATTGAACGAAGGAGAGAATGTTCCATGAGAATGGAGTGCAGGTATGCAGCCAGAAGACCGAAGCTCAACTCCTCTGTGCACTACTAACATTAGGGTGACCTTGGACAGGTCACTTGACCTTTCTCCTCAAATCCTTCATCTGTAAAATAGGGACATAGGGCAGCTCTTACTGGATCATTGAGACAAAATGACAGAATCTCTGTGTCTGTGCTGTGTAAAGTGTAACATACCAAAGGGGAGTTGTTGTTGTTAATAATAAGGATAGAAAGATTAGGCCAATACTAAGATTTCCTCTCTTCAACAGAACTCTTTTTTACTCTATGTAAAGGACAGGAAAAACCCTTTGTGAACTGTAAAGCATGGTATGCCTGGAAGGAATCGTTAGCAGGACTGAGGTTAGCAGTAGGATGCATCGGGGAGGGAGCACGGCCCTGGCCCTCAGCTCCCCAGACACATTCCTGTAAAAGTGTTTGAGGATGGCCAAATAACCTTGGCTGTCCTCTGGCCACTGAGCTGGCAAGTCTCCTGTAGGCCTTCTAGAGGCAGATGTCCTACTGGGAAAACTGGAACCAGATGTACTCAAGATCTCAAAAGAAATTAATGGCAGTAAGACTCTGGGGTAAAAATATCTGTGTGCACTGAGCTTGCTCACTCAGCTCCCTTTCTATCTGAGGATCATTTAGGCTTAATTATAGAGTTCAGGCGTTCATTGGGTTTTTGATTAATTTTCTTTTCAGCTTGAGGAGTGTGTGAGTGTAGTGGGTCTGTGTGTGTGTGTGTGTGTGTGTGTGTTTACATCTTTCTTTGCAACGCAGTTGGGAGCTGGCTCTGGCAATGCCTAATTGTGCCCTCAGTTCTAACAAGAACATTCAATGTGCCAACCAGAACTCCGAAAGCCGTCGTTTGCACTGCCTCCGCCCCAGGGGCCGCTCCTGCCACATGGAGGGATGGTGGCCGGCAAGGTCTCGCTCAGCTGGGACCTCAGCTGCGGAATGCATGCTTTCCTCCTCCTTTTGTGCTTATGGGTTGTTGAAGGGGCTCTGAGACGAGGAGAGCCGACTTCCTCCTCTACTAATGACCAGGGCTGTGCTGAGAGCTGCCAGATGACCGCAGCTCCCCCACCCTGCAGCCCCTGACAGGCATTCTTGGGGGGCTAGTCTCCCCGAGGATTACAAGGTTCTCTGCCTAAGAAAACACTGTTCGTCCTCTTATTTTTAATACGTCCACTCAGTAGTTGGTAGGGACTACGTGGCCGTGGAGGGGAACGTGGCATGCTTTCTCCCTTGCTTCCTTCTCTTTGGGTGCCCTCCAGGCAGGGAATGCGTGGGGAGGCCGCACAGTGCCGTGTCCTAGCATGGGATTTGGAGCCAAATGGCCCAGTTCGAATCCTAGCTCCTGACATTTCCTGTTTGTGTGCCCATGGATAAGTCACTTAACCCCTCTGGATCTCAATTTATGGTCTGTAAAATGGAGACAATAATATCAACAGCAAAAGTACACTCCCTGCAAGACTGTCTGGGGATGAGAAGAGGCATGGAGAAGCCTTTGGTAAAATACTCTATAAATCACAGTTCTCTTATTTTACTGCTCAGGATTGCTGCTCAGAATGCGATTTTGCCCTATGCCCTTATTCATAGCACGAGGAGATGGGGTTGTAAAAAAGCCCAGGGAACGGGAGGTGGAGAGAGGACTAGCCTCCAACCTTCCATGGGCTGTGAACCAAAGCACTGACCTGGGAATACAAAGTCCATGCTGCCAAGGGCCCAGATTAAGAGTTCAATATCAAACAACTGTCATGGGTAAGAGGGAGTCTGGAATATTCATTTTTTTGACATAACAGTAACAAAGATTTCACCCTATTTTTAAAAGGGGAAATTCAATTGCCTCTAGTGCTGGAAGGGTGAATGGTTTAGGGCTAGACGCAGGAGAGGACAGTGGGTCTCAGGTAAGTGTGCCCATCTGTGCTATGAGATTTGGGAGACCCAGGCTCTTCTCTTGGCTCTGTTGCTAATTAGGTCTGTGACCCTGAACAGATGAACTAATTTAACTGGACCTCAATTTCCTTGAGATTGCGGAAGAAAAGATCTCAAAGGTGACTACATTTAAGATCTATTACCTGACAAAATGCTCTTTCCCACACGGAATTAAAAGGTCTTGTGCCACCAGAAACCATTGCATTATGTGTGTGTTCAGAATTAAGTATAGTCTCTTAAGTATATAAGACCACCCAACTAAAACCTGATCAAGGCACTGAATGAGCCTCTCTAAACTGATGGCCTCTGGCATCAGACCCCAGGGGTTCTCGGAGGAAGAAAAGCCTGGTGGGAGGATGGGGTGACCCCAGTAGAGATTTCAAGGTGAATTCTCTCTTGCTGGAGAGCCTTTCATTTGGCAATATCCTGACTAAGCTGAAAGGTAACGATCTAAGGATCACAGAAAGAAAAGGGATTGTTTCCTTGCAAAACCACTTTAACTTCAAAATAATCAGCTGTGGGGCAATGGAGCATTCTGCCCGGCTCATTCCAGAACCGAGAGACCCAACTGCACAGCTCGCAATAGTATCACCAACAATAATCATAATGTATATTTTGCCCAAGGGATTTTAACTTTTATAAGCACTTTCCTCTCTATTTTTCTCATTATTACATAATTTTCCAGAAAACTGGCCAGGTCACTTCTTTTCAAACTCTGAAAAGTGCAACTTTTCAGCAGGAACAAATCTAACTATGTATGCTGCCCCTTGCTTTCTACAGATATGCCCTTGAAGAAGTTATGCTATACGTAAATGTGATTGTGGAAGTCATATCTTGTTTTAATGGATGGGCAAGGGGAATTTAAAAACAGAAATCTTGTACAGGATTTTGTAATTCAATGATCATTTCTCATTAATCAGTGGTTTGTTGCAATTTTGGAATTTTAAATATCAGGTTTTCTTAGGATAGGGCCACATGGGTTAGATTCCAGGATTGGTGTCCTGGCATCCCATCTAATTCAATCAGAGGGAGAGTTTGTTGTTTCAGATGTCAAAGTGGAAAATAGGCAGGTTTATTTCAGCCATGGAGCTCTTTGGAGCTCTGATAAAAAACAAGGAAGCCTGGGAAGGACAGTGGAATCCAAATGTAACCGCTGAATTATTTTTAAATGGAATGTCTCTAGGTCTTCTGTGAGTCACTGATGTGTCATTAATGTGCTGTTATAAATAGCTCAGTTTGCCATCAATAACTAATCTATAAGAGAATAGCTGGTGGTTGGGTGTGAGGTTAACACTACATGATTTCAAGTGGATCTGTTAACCCTCTCTTGTAAATAAGCACCATCCCCTGGGACTAGAACCTGAAAGAAATTAGACTTAATTGCATTTTAAATAAAAGTAATAAGAAAGTCCTCCTGCTTTTTCTTCTCCACTCTCAGACTGTGGTAGAAGACATCATTGAAGCCAACCATAGGACTGTAATAATTACTCTGAACTTCAACTCTTTCACCTCTGAGATTAGGCTGCCAGTATCCATCCACAAAATCTACAATGACATTGTGACAGTTTTAAAATTATTTTGCTTGGGGGATTTTGAATGAAGAAACCGTGTGTGTGTGTGTGTGTGTGTGTATCACAATTTGCATGATTGAGAATAAAAGGAAAGGCTCTTTTCTGGGTGATGTAAGCTAGAAGAGCTGGGAAAGTCCTTATTGTAAAGATTGGAAACTCTCTAAAACATTTGATATTGGCCTGATTAAAGGAAATATGGTCTCTCATCCTTGATGGTTGGATCTCAGCCATATAGTCTTGCACAATGTGAGCAGCTCAGATTTTCTTTAAAGAGCTCTGAAGTTAAACATTATGAGGCACTTCCTCACAAGTGCTCATGCAGTTAAAGTTGAGCTTCTGTGAAATCAAGCTAAAGTAAACATATATAAAGTATATGTACTGGGCTACAAGGACATATGTAGGGACTGCTGGCACATGTGTTGGTCATGCTATCAGCATCCTGGTGTGTATGCTTGCATGTGTGCATGTATATACATGTGTGCATTCTGTATGTTCACATCGTTCAGAAGCTAAAAAGACACCAAAAGAATGAAAATAGTATTCTTATTTGTTAAAATGTTCTCGAAATCCTACATGGATTCCATGGTTTATAAACAATTATGCTTTTGTAAATTTAGGGCTGGTAACAGGAACAGGATAAGCAGCTGTAAACAAAATCACAATTAATGTTTCACCAAAAAACATGGTGAAGTCCCCAAATATCATAGCTTCTGCAGAATACAGGAACTGTCTATCCAAATACTGTGATTAAGGATACTCAGAACAATCAGATTTTGGAAAGAGGTGGGTAGATGGAAGCATCGAGGCACCATCTGTCTGTCCACATCAGAACCCCGGACAGTTCCCAGGAGGCTCCCCTTCAGAATGGAGTGAATATCAATATATCTCTAGTTCTCTAAGTGTACCTTTCATTCCACTGAGTATGTTGAAGATCTGATTGTCTACTAATAAATTCATAGGTATTAATTTGTAGTAACCACTTATTTCTCCTTCTCCCCATTCTCTTTACCGCCTGACTTTCATTCCACCCCCTTCCCCGAGCACCCTCCAGTCAGACAGTGGGACTCTCTGTCTTACAAACACCTGGTGTAGATGTTTTCACTCCCACTTCTAATTGGTTGGGAAGCAGCATTTGCCACAGGCACTGTTTAATTTTGTTTCCATCCCCTGCATCTCACAGGAAAGAAATGGTCAGTAGTTCAGATAAAAGAATCATCCTGGTCAGCTCCAAAATATGGCTACTTGCATGGTAATCACAGCAAGTCTGTCAAATCAGTGATTTCTTTATTCCTAAAAGGAAGGGACTTTTCCTAAGGATTATGGTTCTACCACCCAAGAAGCAGCCCTACTCTTCATAAGTGGCTGCAAATGCTGGCAAACCAAGTGGTCTGCTTTGGCTCAGAAACTCAGTTTGGCTCCTGCCACCCCTGGCAGCCTCACTGCGTGTCATAGCGTCATGTGCTCCACACACAGTCAGGCCAGTCTGCTTCTACTTAGGAGGGATCACAACCAGAGGTGGTCCTCGCTTGGGCCTCCACATGAGGACCTGGGCATCGTTGGCATTGGGTTTCACTAGTGCATTGGGGGGGATGGGTTCCATCCGGCTCAGGATCCGGGGCTGCTCCTGCTGAGTCCTGCCCACCAGCCGGGCCCGTTGCCCCAAGAGCTGAAGAGGGTCCACCTCAATGTCCACCCTCATCCTCCACTTGATGGTCTGTAGAATGATCTTCTCCTTTGTGGTGGTATTCATGGCCACCAGCCAGGTAGTGAAACTTTGGTCCCTCTTGATCCTTGTGAGCAGTGGCACATTGCTGTCACTCACTGGCACTGCCCACGTCACACTTGGGTAGAAGTTGTCATTCATGCTGACGGAGAACCTGGAGATCTTGTTGGTGGGACCAACCAGGGTCACAGTTTCTGTGGTGTTCCCGTACCAAGGGTAGCTCACCCCATCTGAGTCACTGATGGCTTTTACTCTCCCTTCCCTCAAGTCAGGTAGTTCCCAGCTTGACCTGGCAAAGCAGAAGAGATGCACAAGAAAAGAAGAGGCTGAATGAATTTTTCAAAAGCTGGAGAGGTGCCCACCACTTACTAACACTGTCAACTTGGGCAAAATGAGAAGTTCAGAGGGGAATTCAGGTCAAAGATCTATGCTGTGCTGCTTTGGGATTAAGTAGGGACAAATCAAAACAACACAAAGATTAAAAAGCAATACCAAAACAAGTTAAATAAAATCATAGCTGGTCCAACTGGAAACAGGAAGCTCAGAGAGGCATTTGTGAGCCCCACAGAGGCATCAACTAGTTGAGATGGTGGAATTGTAATCAGCTGGTTAGAGGCATTCCATTGCAAGAGCCACTTTCTCGGGAAGTATGAGTTTGTAAGGTTTGTTTGTTAGGAAGAGGTGGTGACAATTTGATGTACTTAGAGGGAAGTTTCAGGTGGAAAGGAGGGCAAAAGGAGGCAAACTTTCCCAGGAAATCACAGTAGTAGAATTTCTACTCAACAAAGAAAGTTGCTTAAATTCCAGTCATTGGCCAATCTAGCACTTGGCAAACACGTAGAAACTGATAACACAAGGAGATCATGGTCACCTTGGAAACCACCTCAATGTAAATGTTGTGCCATAGGCTGGCATACATAGTCTCTAATGTGCTGTTCTCCCACTGACTTCAGGTCCAGCCTGGAAGTCCAATTGCTTAGTTTAGCAAACCTGCCATTCTGGACACTTTGCTACTCCTCCTGGCTGCACCTGACTTTAGCCCATGTCTTAGCCCATGTCTCTCCCCTCTGCTCACCACTAACACCACCACCACCATCATCATCATACTGATACTTATTGAGCACTTGCTCTATTCCAACAACTGTGCTAAGTACTTTAACTATGTTATCTCAGTTAACGTTCAACATATTCCACAAGATAAATGAATTTCTATTTCCATTTTACACAGGAGAGGGTGGAGTTTTAAAGATGTTAAACACCAAGGGTTCTACAGTTTGTAAGAGGTGGAATTGGGAATCATCTGCCTCCAGAGTCTATGCTTTTGACCACTATATTTTACCACCTCCTGGTTCTGGAGATAGCCAGAGTGGAGGAGACTCGGGCTGTCCAGTGTGATTGCAGCTCCCAGAACAGCCACGGGGAGCTGGACTGAACCCAAATAGAAGTAGAAGTTTAGTCAGCAGAGCCTGGCTATGCATTCTCCATATATCCACTGCTGGGACTGGGAATGAGTCTCAGTGGCAGTGCAGAAGAATTTAATAATTAAAAAAAAAAAATGAGATGCTCCACTCATCAGCTGAGACGTGGTAGCCTTGTTTGATATAAAGTTCCTCCTCTTATGAAGTGACAGAAGATCCTACAGGGCTTTATACGAATGGCTTAAGAGAGAGTTGCATTGTCAAGTTGATGCTAAAATGTCTCAGCATCCTTTACCGTCACATGGGGACATGGAGACACTAATTGCTGCCCCTGGCTGGCCTCCACAGCTCCCCCTGTGCTAGTCAGTCCCAGTCTGAAGAGAAGGGAAGGCAGGGCTGCCTGGGGAGGAGGTGGGCCCACAGCTGCAAGAACCTTTTCTCTTGTCTCCATGCCCCTGGTAACTGCTGGGCATAACTGAAATGTATCCTGATTGGCAGAGATGAAGAAGAGGAAATGCCCTCATGTAGAAAGTCAGAGAGAGCCCACTTTGCTGCACATGCTCATTGTAGCTGTGCTGACCAGTAGCTCTCCGTGATAATGCTACAGCTCCCCAATAATGCTACAGCCATTCCTTACTGTACAGAGGGGCATAAATGTTGTTTGAGTGGGATATAATCATATACGCATCGGAGGTCAGGTGAGACCCAATCTGCTTGTTGGGTTTATGAAATAGACACACTGGAGTCAGCTTCTTGCCCCCAGCCAAAGTGTGGAGACAATTATTAAGTCACCAGGCATTTACTTTCTGTGTTGCCTCAGCTCTGTTCTCCATTTAGGTTACAGTGACCAGGCCTGCTTTGGGTTCTTTTGGTTCCTTTGTGGGATGGGAGGACAAGCATTCTCAGCAGCAGAAAATTGTACTTGTTCTCCTGTCTAGGACACTGTGCCAACTGAGGCACATTGGTTGGGGAATTTTTCATTCTGGTTGATTCTTGGTTTTTGATTCTGTTGTAACACTGTCCTTTTCAGGACTCGCTATCTTGCTGGTCGATTAAGATATGTTGTCTACAGAGTCTTCACAGTTCATATTTTTGCCCTCACTTTCCTGCCTAGAGTTATGTGAGCAGACTTAAGCCCAGGGTTCTAGAGGTCAGTCATGTGAGAAATTTACAAAGCTTAGTTTGGTCCCAGATTTTCTGCAAACAGAGATAATACAATAAAGTTGCACTCTTGTGCCTGTCTTGGGAGAGAAGGAAGATACCCTTTTCTTGTAGGATTCTGTGGAATAGAGAAATAAAACAAGCTTCTTAATCATCACATCAAAACAAAGGCACCTGGCTGAGTGTAGCCAATGGGCGTGGTGACCTTGGGAGGCTGTGTACTCATCCATCCACATTGCTGTGACTTCTGACACTGCTCTATTGGAAATCCTTTGGGTCTGAGGCATGTTCTCTCCCACAGCCCCAGGGACTGAAGGACTCCATCATTAAGGGAAGGTTTGATTTTGGGTAGCCCCAAATTCATTATGACGAAGTCTAGTGGATACGTTTCTTTTTCAAAAATATCCTATCTTTCTTTCTTTCTTTCTTTTTTTTTTTTTTTTTTGCTTTCTAAGGTAGTGGCTCTTTTTCTTTTCCCCCAGGAAGAGTCATGCCTATACAACGCATGACTGGTTTATGTAGCTGATAAACTGGCTTTGGTAATGATTTTCTTTTTTTTTTTTTTTAAGAGTATTTATTTATTTACTTATTTGACACAGAGAGAGAGACAGACAGAGCACAAGCAGTGGGAGCAGCAGAGGGAGAGGGAGAAGCAGGCTCTCTGCTGTGCAGGGAGCCCAACGCAGGGCTCGATCCCAGGACCCTGGGATCATGACCTGAGCTGAAGGCAGACGCTTAACCACTGAGCCACCAGGTGCCCTGGTAATGGTTTTTAAAGAAGTCCCTGATAAATTCCAAGCGTGATAGTACCCTGGTGTCACTCTCTGACCATTTAAGAAGACTACTTTGAATGGGATGCTGGAGGCACTTCAAATTCCGTATGTCCCAAAGTGAATGCACCACCTACAGCATACACTTGGCCCTTTCCCCCTTCTCTGCCGGGGGTGACCCACTGCTCACCCAGTCTTCTAGGCCAGAAGTAAGGGTTATCTTTGGCTCTTCCTATGCCCTCCCCTAGACTGTTTGAGCTATTGCATCACTGAGTCCTATGAGTTTTGCTCCATAAGTGATGCTTGAATTTATCTCCTTTTCTCCATCCAGCTGTCACTGCCCTCATTTAAAGCCAAGCCCTTAGCATCTCCCACCTGGTCTACAGGGAATGGCATAACTGCCCTCTCTGCTTCCAATCCTGATCCCTTTCAAATTGATCTTTTAGCTGCACTGGTGTTCAAACACACAGACATGATTCTGTCCTTTTTACACCTAACACCCTTCAAAAGCATCATTGGCATCACCCACATGATAGGATTCAAGTTCCTTAATATATGGCCCTCCATGGTCTGGCCTCCCTACCTCCACACACCATGCTGTTTTAACCTCTTCCTTTTTGCTCATGCCATGTCCGCTGCCTAAAGCACTCTTTCCCCTGCTACAGTCTCACTGGATCTAATCACTCATCCTTTGAGATTCATTACATGCATCACCTCCTTCAGGAAGCCTTCTTTTCCATGCTCCCATGGATATATCCAGCTCTTTACAGCTCTCAGGTTATATTATAATTATTTGCTTATATGTCTGTTTTCCCCATTAGATTATGATTTCCTTGAGGCTTGGGATTGTGACTTATTTTTGAATCATTAGTATCTCACACATTGTTGGCATATAGTAGATCTTAATACATTTTTGTTGAAGGAATAAATATTTTATTTGAATCACTTTCATGCCTATCTACCTGGAGCTTGGTAGAGCACAACAAAGTGCTTTATCACAGTTTTACCTTTTATATATTCCCTCACCTTTAAAAAAAAGACTAACATCTACTATTCATGTATTCTATTATTAGAATAGCACCATGCTTAACACTGAAAGTTATTTATCCTTGAGGGGGAGGCAGACAAGCCACACACAAATAAAAATGAATGAACTGGTGAATATAAATGTATTTAGTGACTGTTCATGCCATTATATACCTACATACAAAAGTGAACGACACAGACTCCGAGTGATACAGGACGTTGGAGACATGGACATCCATGCTGGCTATAGGGGGAGAGCTTTGTGGAGGAAATGGGATATGAGCTGTGGAGAACAAAGAAAGGCACACCCTGGTGGGAGGTTCCAGCATGGGCAAACATGTAGCCTTAAGCATGAACATGGAGTGTCCAGGAAAGAGAGGGCACCTGGAAAGTAGAGACAAGGCTGGGTGGGCAGGGCAGAGTCAGTCTGTGAAGTAGCCTTTAATAATGGGCTTAGGCACTGGGCTTCATTCCAGGGGTGGCGGGACTTTTGAGCAGGAGATGATGTGCCAGGAAGAAGGATGATGTAAGAAGGAGAATTAGAGGGCCAATGGGAGGGAACCTGGATGTTTAGGAGCTTTTGCAACACTGTAGGTGATCTTTAATGAGGCTTCCAGCTAGGCTGGAAGGAATGGAGGGGAGGGGCTACGTATGGGAGATGCTACAAAAGTAGGTACTCTCTGGCTTGGTAACTGATTGCCTATCAGAGACAAAAAGAAGGGATAAAGTAAAATAACGAGAAGAGCCACATACAGTTGACTGTTGTGTGTATCTGTGTGTGTGTGTGTGTGTGTAAAATCGTTCTCAGAAGTAACAAGGTGTGGTCTCACTGCTTCTGACATTCCACACCCATCCCTGGACCCACCCACAGTGGTATTTCAGGGTGCAAAGCCCTGACTCCTCCATGAGGGAGT